AAAAGTGGTTTAAACCACCACAAAGGTACAGAGGGAGCAGGTGATTGATGTGCTGGTTCCCTGCCTGGACAGGCCCATTTGTCCCTATAGCAAGCCCAAGCTATAGGAGCTGCCAGGGCCTCTCAGCCCTCAGCCATAAGCCCAGGGCACTTCTTACTCTCACTTCTGCTGTTGCCACCACACAAAGTCATTCCACCTGGGTTTGTGCATTTGGGGCAAAGTGCTGGCAATTTTCCTCTGTCAATCCAGTGCCTGATGGCTTTTGCCTAGGGCTGGACCTCCAGATGAAATATAATGCTTTAGGCTCCTTAGGGCTTGGTAAGGCCTTTCTCACTTGCTCTCTCACACATGGGTGCAGGGCTTCAGAGCTTAATTAATTATCCCTAGAAATGGCAAAGGCTTATCTTGTGGCAGCAGAACACCCACGATCTGAAAATGTTGATAGCAGAAATGTGTGCTTTTCTTTTGTCTCTGGTATGAGTGATTCCACTGTCCAGAAATACACAAACCTACCTCAGAAGTGCTATCTATAACAGTGTTTTTAAGAATATAATGTGCTTTTCTAAGCCAGAGATAATCCATAAGTAAGAAGGATGTCTATACAATTTAAGAAAGTGTATGAAACCCACACTCAAATATCAGCTGAATAACCTGGTCTTCCACAGTCTTGATAATGATGTTTATATAAACTCCTATAAAATCTCACACATGCAACTCTTGTCAAAGATTGTAACAGTTTATTCTAAATTTAAATGGTCTCAAAATCTTCCTACTACTTTCTCTTGAAGGGTGCCAGAGCAAAACTTACGGATCCAAAGACCCAGCTTTCCATTAGGATCATATCATTACTAGCCTTTATTCAAAGCCCTTGACAACAGAGCATGCCTCCAAGTTTTATTCATACCTGCACAGGAGCTTGAAAAACAACTACATTCTCTTTATACCAGAGATCTACAGCAGAAATTCACTGATGCATCCCAAGAAAGCTATTTTTTTCCTGACATATGCAAACACCCAGGAAAAACAGTACCAGTCAGTAACTTTAAGACAAGAATTTACTGCAACTAAATAATCACTGTTGATTTGAAGTGGCTGTTTTATCTTTTACTATATGTACATAGCAGGGGATGGAAAAGAACAGGCTTGCCATTGGCATGAAGACCCAGCTTACATTTATATGAGTATGGAAAACTGCTGTACACATAAAAACTGTACAGCTCTGGCAGAAGAGATCAGAAATTCCACAACATGTACTGGTATGCAGTTCAAGGTGTCCTCTATAACAGCTCAATTACTTCATACTGTGGTAGAAGCAGGTTCTGTTGATGAGAAGACAAACTCCCAAGCTTTTGGTAGTGGCCCCTTCCCTGCACTTATGAAGAATACTGTCATGAGGTTTAAGTCATGGGTTGTGCTTCCAGTCCCTAGTACTGTCAATAAAGATTACAGTGTAATAATATTAATAAAAATTATAACTTATACAAATAAAAGATGGTATCTCTTCTTTTGCCTCAGTTGCAATGACCTAATCTTCAGTTACTAAAGAAAAGGAAAACCACTGTTTTTATCTCAAGAGAAGCAGCAGCCCAAGTCATTCTGGAAAAGCAGGCTCTACGTATCTCCTTTGCAGCACAGGGAACAGGACATCAAAGATTGCACAGTATTTTAAGTGTAGAAAAGGTATAAAATTTTATTTGTAATTTAACCAGTAAGAATTTCATTAATCCATTAAAACACTTTATTACAAATCAGTGTAATTGAATTGTAACTGTCCTACATGAAGGTAATTCTGAGGTGAACAAACTGACCTACTAGTGAGTAGGCAATTTAGAATGTGTATCTACATCTACACTGTATCTATTTCATTTTATTTCATTTTATTTTATGTATCTATTTTTTGCATTCCCTTAAGTAAAAAATTGGGTAGACAGGCTAAGAGACCTGCATGGATGTGCAGGGAGCTTCTGAAGGAAATTTCATGGAAGAAAGAGGTGTATAGCTCATGTAAGAAGGTACTTGTCACTTGGGACAAATACAGGGCAACTGTCAGGACATGTAGGAAGGCAATAAGAAAGGCCAAAGCCCTCTTAGAACTAAAACCAGCAAAGGAAGTAAAAGAGAACAAAAAGGGCTTCTTCAAATATACCAGTAGTAAAAGGAAGAACAGGGGAAGTGTGGGCCCACTGCTGAATGAGGCACAGCCCTGATCACTGAGGATGCAGAGAAGGCAGAGCTGCTGAATGCCACCTTTGCTTTGGTCTTTAATCCTGAGGTCATCCCTTGTGAACTCCAGACCCTAGATGTAGGAGAGAAAGCCTGGAGGAGGGAAGACTCTCTGCTAGTCAATGGAGACTAGGTTAGTGATCAGTTAAGGAAATTGAATAGACCTAAGTCCATGGGCCCTTCAGAGATGCACCCAAGAGTATTGGGAGAACTGGCTGAAGTAGTCACTTTTTCATTATC